ACGACAAAAACTATTTATTTACACTAATTATTAAAGAACTTAAAAACACTATTAAATTATTACTAAACTTAGGTTATGAATTATTCTATTTATTTACACAACTATTGATATATCACTATTCACTGCGCTATTTATTTCACTGTTATCACTGTCAATTTATTTCTGGATTCACTTCTGCAACGGTCAATTTATTTCTTTTCCCTTCGGCTCTTTTGTTTACTTTCTGGAACCTTCTGGAAATATCCGGATAGTTTATTTTTTCTTTGAACTGTTTTAACTGCTTTCCCAGAACGCAGGTACGACACACACATTTACAAATACTGCACATGAAGAAAGGCGCCCGCGGCTAATCGGTGAATCGATAAGCCATTCTCGCACACGTGTGCCCGATCGCACACAAACACACTCGTGCTCGCTACAATATAATAAATTATTTTTAATTGGCTGCTAATTTTTTCCGTTGTAATAAGTCCCAGTAAAAAAAACAATAAATGAAATGGTATCTACCGGTAATGTTGCAAAACAGAAAAGAAAATAATTAATCTGTTCTACGTAGTTAGCGCTCTCAGAAGTCATTAAATAATTGTTTGCGCTGTTCAATTTACAGGTAATCCTACTCTGCTTTTATGATTGCCTGTTCCGTTTCTATAATTAGTTTTGTAATTGTATTGTTTTTCTTCCAAACGAGCGGTTCGATGTTGTTCCCTTGTTTCTGTGACATGACGTCGAATGAGAGGGGTGGGGGGTAAAGGCGGACGTTGTACCAGTAGAAACCATTATAAGCTACTGTTTCCTGAAAAACAGAATTTGACGTGAAATACGATCTTCCCCGGAATGTTTTCTCAGACGTGATATTTAACAACTTTGAAATGCGAACGTAATCCGTAATCATATTTGGGGCACACAAGTCAAATTACTGCTTTTTAATTTTTTTTCACTCAGTATTCATGATTCTAGTCACTTCATCATAAGGCCGTCAGTTCTAAGACTGGTTTCGTTTTCTTTTTATTGAACCATTACAACCCACAATAACATTTAATCGAAAATGCCCCATTTGAAAAATTAAACTTCAAGCCATTTTTAATATGCTCAAGAGGTAATTATCATTATTATGTTACAAATTCGACTGTTGATCATCTCTAATTGTTCAATTGTATTCATCATTGTGGTACCATCGGCGAGTTTTTGGTTGTAATAATTATTTTAGTCTAAAATGACTCCTGCACGTTAGTTTTGACTCATTCCAGAAAACAAGTCAATATTGTCAAATGTTACCTTGAAAATAATAAATAAACTCCTGTATTATTATCTAAATGGAAACTTACATACGTAAAATAATTTATTTATGTTGTTAAAACCAGTAGATATTGGCAAAATGTAATTTCATATCTGCCTTGTTGTCTTCCAATGTAAATACAAGAAAGAAATTCGTCGTAAACACGGTGATTATTTTGATAACGGTACCCTTATTTGTTCAATATTGGATGCAATTATTCCGAAGAGGTAGTGCCTTCTTAGTTCAGTTTAGTTTCTAAAGTTTACCGTACATGTTATTCTTTTCCTTTTTAATGGTAAGTGAATTTATTTTTATTCAATCGGATTTTTAGTAATGTTATGATATTCGTGGCTTACAGTAGAATTCAAGTTGTTTTAAAAATGCATTTAACATAACGTTTCTAAACATAATGATTATTTCACAAAACCTTCATTATAAACTTCTACAGTGTACTTGATTGAGAAATTGAAAGGGTAGCTCGGATTTTTAATTAAAGAAGCATATGCAATANTACAATTTTGAATTTAACATAATCAAATGACATGATTCAAACAACTGTATGACATTTCTTATAAATAATTATTAAAAAGGTTGTTAAAGGTGTATGTTTGGAGCGCGGCGACTGATGCGAAACATGGACAGTGGGCGCAGTGAAAAAGAAAAGGTTAGAAGCGTTCGAAGTGTGGTGTTATAGGCGAATGATGAGGATAACGTGGATAGAAAAGGTTAGAAATGAAGAGGCATTAGAAAGAATAGGAGAACAGAGGACTATAGAAGTCAATAAGAAATAGGCGAGATAGAGAGACATATTAGAGGCAGACACGGAAGTTAGTAGGGGTAGAGGTAGACCTAAATTAGATTACTGTTCGCAAATAGTTAAGGATGTGGGTTGTTGTAGTTTTAGGGAAATGCGAAGATTAGCTCAGGATAGGAATGAGTGGAGATGCGTGTTCAACCAGTTTTAGGACTGGCGACCTTATGATAATGATGAGGGGCTAAAAATAATGTTAAGAAGTGCTCAGTGGAATTAAGAACTTTGGTCAGAAATAACGAAGTATATTTTAAGAATCTGGGAATTGTTTATGAAGTCTATAAGTCGTTTAGAGTAAAATTTCCGTATTATGTATGTGCAAAGATCCTATTCGATAAAAACAACAATTTATGATTAAACGGTCAAGTTTCCGGAAAGAAGAAAAATGTGCAGTGTTAGTGACTTTATCAGGAAAATTGTAGCAGAAACCGTTTAATTTCAGAGCGCTGACTTTTATAAATCGTACGAAGGAGAAAAGAAAATCGATTTGTCTAGACTGTTAAGACATCTAAAAATTATCTCTTCCCTTCAAGAAACGTTTCGTATCCGAAATCTATCTCTTGGAAAGTTTCAATGGAATCGCGCTGTGAATTTCTATTGACGGTCTCATTTCTCTTATTATCCGACCATTTCAAATCGAACTGGAAGGATATTGTAAGATATACATATTGCTTTTTCATTACGTAATCGACTTAAAGCACCAAGTTGACGAAACTACGAAAAGCTATATGCTTTTAGGATAAGTCCTAGATGTGCACGAAGCGAGAGTTTAGTCGCTTTTTTTAAAAAATTTCTGCGAAATCACACTACAAAAATCAATAAATTGTTTTTTTACTCGGTGTACGTTATTTTGGGACGATATCATTAAAAACAAATTATCGTATGTACCTACAGTAGAATTCGCTTATAATGACATCGAAGGGAAATGATAAACACGTCAAACCAGCGGGCGTCATACAAAGCATGGTCATAGAAAATAGACAACTTTCTATTTTGGTTAATTATTTAGTTTAATAAAGAGAAAAACTGCAAATTGTATATATTTATTAACAGAAAAATNATTGATGTATTGTTACACGAATGTGTAGGATGATGATCTAGCGGTGTACGAGTGTAATTTTAAGCTGATTCTGATGACCGTCTACAATGAGTCACGTAAGTATTATTTATGTGGGTTAGTACAGTTAATAAAGAAGTCACATTCTCTCCAAAGTATAAATTATCGTGATCAGCAAAAAACAAAAACAGAGAAGAAGAAGAGTAGCACCATAAAACAAGAAAGACGAATAGGTTCCAATATCCCCCCAGTTTCTTCGACATTGCTCATACATTCACCGTATTCGTAAATCCACTCCTGATGACTCAAGTTTTGTTCGTCGAAATTTGTTTTCATTCCAATTTAAAAGTTGTTTCTTATTTGAGGTGTTGGTGATTTTTTCCTCTCCTATAAATAAGTTATGAAGCGAAAATTGCGTGTTGAATTCATTACTACATTTTGGAAAATAACGAACGGCAGTTTTCTTTTTTACGGCTAAAGTGAGTGTGTGCAGAAATTGAAGTTGTTGCTTTTCTCGTTATTCATCATATTTATCTTCCAAACTTTCAGTTATTGACCTACATTGTTGCAAAAAATGTTTCTATTTTTTTTGTAGTAAATAAAGAATTTTGAGCTGATATTATTTATTATTATTATATTATATTCGCAATAATCACAGAGACAAAGTTATTTGATGGCACGTCTATGACCTGATTACACTTTTCTTTATAAAAATGACACGTCAATACGTAAAGGTTCACCATCCCTGTTATATACGATAGATCTGATGAAATATCACCTCAAAAAGTACAACTCACACAATTTTGTTGTTCGTAAATCAATTTTTAAAATCCAGTTCTAGTTGTGTGTAATTGCACTTGCATCAAAAATAATTGGTCAAAACATGAATATTACAATTCAAACACAATCATATTAAGTACCTAGTGTGAAAGTATTTTAATGAATTCACTTGAACATAAGTCATTTTTAGAAATTTATAATCGCCTTTTTATTTTTTCTAATAAATTTAAATTGTCTCGAAAATATCGAATTTATTGAACGTATACTTATTATAATTGCTATTTATGTCAATGAAAGTGTATATAATAATAATAAAGTAGAATTAAAGTATTAACCATCTGGTAAACTGGTAAGTAAAAGGTATTATCCACGCATTAAATTTGGAGTTACAAAAATGAAAACAATTTTCTCATCGGCAATTATGCAGTGAATGTTTACTGTAATTATTAGCATTTGATTGAGTATCAATATTTATAATGCTTTGAAGATCAAAGCTATTAATTATCTGCTTGGTGTCAATAGTTGTTTTAAATTACAACCTAAAACCCGAATGTTGCACGTAAAATATAAATTGTATTTACATGTTCTTATATTATAATTTATTAAGTACTTTAATAAATGAAAGTTGAGAAAATTATTTACTTTTTCATTTTAGAAAGCTTCCAAAATGGAAATCTTTTTGTTTTATTTTTATGTTTAGTAAAATTTGTAGGTACTTCAAATTGGTTATTACACACATGCACTTTTGGATATTTATCAGAAAGTGTAATTTTTTTTTGCATATACGAACATTAGCAACATCTGCTATCATTAATTGCAGAAGTTCGACAGGAAGCTGTTCAACAAGCACTTGCCCAAGCAATGCAGAACCGGTATAAGCCTTCTCTTCCTATGCCATCCAAAAGAACTTCCGTTATGGCTCGGAGTCCTGATAGGGAACATCAGGAATCAGGTGAGTTGCTAGCAAAATCTAATTGCAAATATAGGCTTTGCTCTGTGTTTACATTGCATATATAACCTAATCTGATGGGCAAAACATGTCATTTTTAGTCCCATTGCAGTCCTAAAGGACAATATTAAAAAAAAAAAATTCAAATAGATGTAGTGGAAAAATATACGTATTCACCAAATTGGTGCATTTTCGTTCTTGTTACATAAATGAATGAAAGAATGTCGGCAAAGGAATGTGTAATTGTTATGTTATGTTCAATGAGCTTTTTGCCTTATTTGTATACATGATGGGATCACTTGGGCAAATGCTGGGACAATTATTATGTTCCACAGATAATCTTGCAATTCTCCTGTATCTTCATTTCGTCTGTCTTATCTTTTTATTCCAACTTCCACCTTTCCGTTTCCACGATCCTTGTAAGAAGGTTGATAGAGAATAGAGCCTTCTACCCTTCACTCCGGCTTTGCACCGCAGTATAGATTGGAGCAACTGTCTGTCCACCNAAAAGCTCATTATTATACTGACTCTTGTTTATTAAACAAACTTTTTCATACAGTACCTGCCGAAAGTTTTGTTTAATCATGAATAGTAGTGCGAGTCGAAAACAAGCATTAAAGCCTTTAATATGTCTTCAAATAAAAATAAACATCTCGTTGATATTTTCAGTAGTAATTGGTATCAATATCAGCACATTTGAGCATTGCAATTTTAGTGGATAAAATAGTCAATTTTTCCGTGCAGTACTATACGGTTTATACGCTCCTCACCGGTTAAGAGTTTGGCCGCGAGTTGTCTCCTTCCTTTTCTGGCCTAGTGCTGTTCTTTTTTACTTTGCGCCTGTCAAACTGAAGGTCACATCGCTACAGAAAGTAAACGAAGTATACATACAGCTCATTCCTGTGCATTATCTGTTTGTTACATGGCCAGTGGAAAGTTGTTAAAAATAGCTTGTCTCATTCATCGTGAATGCGTGCGCGCACACAGAGCGACGTTATTCCGCGAAATGGTTACCAGTTACTAAACCAAATCTAATTGCTAAGTAAATAACACAGAAAATAAAATTATAGTCTCTTAAAAAACATAGTAACGCTTAGAAAATTATTGAGATCGAACACAGACATTACAAATATACTTTTTTATTTTACTGCCAACGCCAACACATTGGTCATGCATGCAACCTTTCCATTACATACACTGGATCATGTTTTCTTCACGATCTTTCTTAGATCGTTGGCATAAGCACGATTCTTTAGCTTTTATTTTTTTGTTCTTCGTGCAAGTTTCATTTGCATTCCTTCTTTTTTTAATTTTATTGACTTCATTTTCTGTTTTGACCATATTTATTACCTCATAAAAAGTTGAGTAAATTATTAAACAAATTTCTCAATACCTTAGTCGTACCAGTACGAGAAACGAATTTTGCACAGCTACCACTTAAGCAGTGGGGTCTTCTAAGTCGAAAACTAAAACCACCTACATAATCTAAAAAAAAAAAACAGGTGCAACAAAGAAGTGAAACTTCTTTGGCGATCTCTATACCTTTATAACGAATAAGTAATGATTGGTGAAAGAGAGAGTACTAGAATTTTTAAGATTTATGTTTTCCAGCATATTTTAATTTTAAGTCCACCTAAGGAGTATTACTTCAATACGTTTTTATGTAATTCGATAACAAAAAAATGATCAAATTTTTATCGCTTCTGTTTATTTTTCGAAGTGCTTAAGAAACCGTAAACTATCAATAACTGCAAGGAATTAGAATTAATACATAATAACACAAACTCTTAAATAAATATTAATTGTTGTTAAATAAACATTTACTGTAATACACTTACTGTAATATAACTGCACAGATTTAACCAAAACATTAATTTAGCCCTATAGTATAGTGAATATACAGTATAGAATAATATATGAGATGCCGGTCACTAACAGCAGACCGTAATATCGATATGCGCATGCGCGCCTTTCTATTCTCATAGCCAATCGCGTCGCCAGATAAGACGTTGCAAAACGGTTCGTTTCATGGCCTTGAGATTTTACTCCCATCGACCCTAAAGAAGTTTTACCGATTGTGCATGCTTGAACTTTTGTCAGATGAGTATTAAAAACAGATGTTAACAAAGAAAAAAGCCAACGATCACATTTTTGCTGTACAAAGCTTACAAATGAGTCCATATTCTTACTCAAAACCGTGTATTTACTTACTTTTTAATTATTTTTCATTTACGAAGCCGGTCGGCCTTAACTCCTTAAGGTTTGCTCGCTCGATTAAATAGCTCTGGTTGACGGTACTGTAATGTTCCTGGGTTTATCAAAATTAACGTCTAAGACTGATAACGACAAAGAATATTTATTTACACCATTAAATTGTTACTAAACTTAGATTATGAATTATTCTATTTATTTGCACATATATTGATATATCACAATTCACTGCGCTATTTATTTCACTGCTATCACTGTCAATTTATTTCTCGATTCACTTCTGCAACGGTCAATTTGTTTCTTCCTCCTTTCGGCGATCATCTCCTCCTTTAAATACTCTTTTGTTTACTTTCTGGAACCTTCTGGAAACATCCGGATAGTTTATTTTTTCTTTGAACTGTTTAACTGTTTTTCCAGAACGCAGGTACGACACACACATTTACGAATACGGCGCACGTGAAGAAAGGCGCCCGCGCCTAGTCGCCGAATCGATAAGGCGTTCACGCACACGTGTGCTCGATCGCACACAAACACATTCGTGCTCGCTACAATATAATAAATTATTTTTAATTCGCTGCTAATTTTTTCCGTTGTAATAAGTCCCAGTAAAAAAAACAATAAATGAAATGGTATCTACCGGTAATGTTGCAATATAATAAATTATTTTTAATTGGCTGCTAATTTTTTCCGTTGTAATAAGTCCCAGTAAAAAAAACAATAAATGAAATGGTATCTACCGGTAANAAAATCTTTGCTATCTGTGTATCGTTTTCATTTCTTTCTAAATTTCGGGGCGATCAAAATTTTTTATCTTTTTAGGTGTAATATTGAGATAATTGACCATGTAGTTAAATAGCCAAACAGACAGACAGACAAGAAAACATAACCATGAAGGAGGATTTCTTTCTGTTGTTCTTTTGTGTATGTTTGTTTAATAGAATTAAAATTATCTACGTTCCCGTATTACCCCCGTTAATGTAGGTAGTAGTATAAACGTGGCGACTCTGGACTACTCCAATCAATGACCTTGCCCTTGAGATATTTTATCAAGGTCAAGGACTTTATTACTTTTTCGTAAAAATTGCTGTGGAAGTCAAGCAGGCAACGTAAAATGTTCTTCGATTTATTTTAATTATTTAAAACTAGCTCTAATCACGGTTTAAATTATTTTTAGAGTCGTCATCGGACGAAGATAGCATAGTTAATGAAGAAGCAGTAGAAAGTACTCCAGAAAGAGAACGGATACGAGACAGAAGTACACCCCAGATGCTACCTCCACCTCCTCTGTCAGATACAAGTAGCACCGGTTCACCACCGCCGTTACATCACAGGCCTCGAATGCCACCCCCAACTAATTGGGACCATCGAAGCAAAACTGAAATTACCGATATTAGCGACGTCATGCAAAACTTTAGGCCTTGTATGTAGAACATTGAAACTACTAAAATACGTTAGGTGTATACTTATTATATTTTTGTAGATTCTCAAGCACCTGACGTAACACATACGACTGCTCAAGGGGGTCGCAGATCAACCGGTGCGGCAGATAGGGTAAACAGGTATTCCTCTTCCGCTTCCGAAGATACCATAAGTACGGGCACCGGACGATGGAAGGTGTCCGCTAAAATTCAACAGTTGCTCAATACTCTTAAGAGGCCTAAACGTAGACCTTTACCTGAATTTTACGAAGATGATGATATAGAATTAGAAATAGCAGCTAATCCGAAAGATCCTAATGCTCCCAAACCAGAAGGTAAATTGGCAAACCAAGAAAATGGAAGAATAAATGTAATAATGCTTTTCATGTAGGAGGTTCCATGACACCAGCCGTAGGCGACCAGCTAGTAGTACCTTCTGGACTTCCAAGAAATTTGGAGGCAGCTGTAAGTCGATATGGATCTGCATCTTTTAAAGCGCCCGTTGCCACTGTTCTAGACCCTAACGGGAAATTGACAACTACTTTGACTTACGGTAACGAGAGTTTAGTCGCTTTTTTTAAAAATTTTCTGCGAAATCACACTACAAAAACCAATAAATTGTTTTTTTACTCGGTGTACGTTATTTTGGGACGATATCATTAAAAACAAATTATCGTATGTACCTACAGTAGAATTCGCTTATAATGACATCGAAGGGAAATGATANACTTTTGGATATTTATCAGAAAGTGTAATTTTTTTTTGCATATACGAACATTAGCAACATCTGCTATCATTAATTGCAGAAGTTCGACAGGAAGCTGTTCAACAAGCACTTGCCCAAGCAATGCAGAACCGGTATAAGCCTTCTCTTCCTATGCCATCCAAAAGAACTTCCGTTATGGCTCGGAGTCCTGATAGGGAACATCAGGAATCAGGTGAGTTGCTAGCAAAATCTAATTGCAAATATAGGCTTTGCTCTGTGTTTACATTGCATATATAACCTAATCTGATGGGCAAAACATGTCATTTTTAGTCCCATTGCAGTCCTAAAGGACAATATTAAAAAAAAAATTTCAAATAGATGTAGTGGAAAAATATACGTATTCACCAAATTGGTGCATTTTCGTTCTTGTTACATAAATGAATGAAAGAATGTCGGCAAAGGAATGTGTAATTGTTATGTTATGTTCAATGAGCTTTTTGCCTTATTTGTATACATGATGGGATCACTTGGGCAAATGCTGGGACAATTATTATGTTCCACAGATAATCTTGCAATTCTCCTGTATCTTCATTTCGTCTGTTTCATCTTTTTATTCCAACTTCCACCTTTCCGTTTCCACGATCCTTGTAAGAAGGTTGATAGCCTTCTACCCTTCACTCCGGCTTTGCACCGCAGTATAGATTGGAGCAACTGTCTGTCCACCAGCGTCAATAAAGCGCCAGTAAAAATGATCGAATTTTTATTTATCGACGCGTGAATTAAACCTACATGTGAACCCAAGAAGTCGATAAAAGAAGAACAAATGTTAGCAATTGATAATAACTGCCAGCTAAAATTGTTTCGGTTAACTTGCGTCAATAACTTTTAAAGATATAAGAAACCAAGTTATCGCGCTCCGGGAAACTCTATTAATTTAATGCGTTTCGTGGCCGTTTTTTATATCAATTTGGCCAGTCCCTTATTTCTATTTCGTTTATTTTTATAGAAGGTCCTTTACCAGTTTATTTATTTTACATCGATTTAGCACACAACATTTTGAGATTCGTATTACCTGTTCGAGTGTGAATAGGGTGGAAATGATAATGCCCAGTTCTTTTCACCCTTCAATAACAAATTCGAACGTTTCAGGACATACTTTTCCACACGCTTTCCCAGCGACCTTTATTTATCTTTGTTCCCGTTTAGGTTCGAACATGCGTTGTATGAAAAGGGCCAAATTGATGGGTCTAGCATTTTATCTGTTTTTATTGACTCTTCTGAAAGGCCGGAAGTGGCTTTTTTCTCGTAAAAATAGCTTTTGTGTTCTTTTGATTGACTATTTAATGCTTCAAAGTGGACAATTCGTTAAATGTAATCAATATTTTTTTAAGCACATGAATGACTGGCTTTCCACTGTTTTTCTAAAGTACCTACTAATTTTGTGGGTTAATAGAATCTCACAAATTATCTTCTAAGACTGATAACGACAAAAACTATTTACACTAATTATTAATGAACTTAAAAACACTATTAAATTGTTACTAACTTTGGTGATAAATTACTCTATTTATTTACAGTACTGTTACTATTCACTGTTCTATTTATTTCACTTCTATCACAGTCGGTTTATCTTTTGATTCACTTCTGCAACGGTCAATTTATTTCTACTCCCCTTCGGCGATCATCTCTTCCTTTTTATACACCATTGCCTCCTTTCGGGAACATTCTCCAGCCGTCCAGAGAAGTCNTACTTTCTGGAACCTTCTGGAAATATCCGGATAGTTTATTTTTTCTTTGAACTGTTTTAACTGCTTTCCCAGAACGCAGGTACGACACACACATTTACAAATACTGCACATGAAGAAAGGCGCCCGCGGCTAATCGGTGAATCGATAAGCCATTCTCGCACACGTGTGCCCGATCGCACACAAACACACTCGTGCTCGCTACAATATAATAAATTATTTTTAATTGGCTGCTAATTTTTTCCGTTGTAATAAGTCCCAGTAAAAAAAACAATAAATGAAATGGTATCTACCGGTAATGTTGCAAAACAGAAAAGAAAATAATTAATCTGTTCTACGTAGTTAGCGCTCTCAGAAGTCATTAAATAATTGTTTGCGCTGTTCAATTTACAGGTAATCCTACTCTGCTTTTATGATTGCCTGTTCCGTTTCTATAATTAGTTTTGTAATTGTATTGTTTTTCTTCCAAACGAGCGATTCGATGTTGTTCCCTTATTTCTGTGACATGACGTCGAATGAGAGGGGTGGGGGGTAAAGGCGGACGTTGTACCAGTAGAAACCATTATAAGCTACTGTTTCCTGAAAAACAGAATTTGACGTGAAATACGATCTTCCCCGGAATGTTTTCTCAGACGTGATATTTAACAACTTTGAAATGCGAACGTAATCCGTAATCATATTTGGGACACACAAGTGAAATTACTGCTTTTTAATTTTTTTTCACTCAGTATTCATGATTCTAGTCACTTCATCACCATAAGGTCGTCAATTCTAAGACTGGTTTCGGTTTCTTTTTGTTGACTGTTCATCTTTAATTGTTCAATTGTATTCATCATTGTGATTTACATATTTTGGTCTAAAATGACTCCTGCACTCTAGTTTTGACTCATTCAAGAAAACAAGTCAATATTGTCAAATGTTACCTCGAAAATAATAAATAAACTCCTTTATTATTATTTAAATGGAAACTTACATACGTAAAATAATTTATTTATGTTGTTAAAACCAGTAGATATTGGCAAAATGTAATTTCATATCTGCCTTGTTGTCTTCCAATGTAAATACAAGAAAGAAATTCGTCGTAAACACGGTGATTATTTTGATAACGGTACCCTTATTTGTTCAATATTGGATGCAATTATTCCGAAGAGGTAGTGCCTTCTTAGTTCAGTTTAGTTTCTAAAGTTTACCGTACATGTTATTCTTTTCCTTTTTAATGGTAAGTGAATTTATTTTTATTCAATCGGATTTTTAGTAATGTTATGATATTCGTGGCTTACAGTAGAATTCAAGTTGTTTTAAAAATGCATTTAACATAACGTTTCTAAACATAATGATTATTTCACAAAACCTTCATTATAAACTTCTACAGTGTACTTGATTGAGAAATTGAAAGGGTAGCTCGGATTTTTAATTAAAGAAGCATATGCAATATTTAAAATTTAATGAGTTCTCTAAAGGTTTATTTTATTTATCCCAGTACCTATAAAATACTGACAAATTAATGCTGTTAACAAGGTCTGTTTGTGACAGTTTTGCCAATTTTAAAACTTAATTTGAATAGTAAGGTTTTATCTTTGTGGTCGGAATATTTTTCTCTGGCTTAATAAAAACTGGTATTAAAATGACAGAATAAATAAAAAAAATATGGCATAGGAGCTAAAAAGTCACTTCTATGCTCGCAAACGGTTAATTTAAAAATTCGAAAAAGGTTGTTAAAGGGGGATGTTAGGAGCGCGGCGCTGTATGGGTGCGAAGCATGGACAGTGGGCGCGGCGGAAAAGAAAAAGTTAGAAGCGTTCGAAATGTGATGTTACAGGCGAATGATGAGGATACCATGAATAGAGAAGGTTAGCAATGAAGAAGTGTTAGAAAGAATAGGAGAACAAAGGACTCTATGGAGTTCAATAAGAAATATGCGAGATAGGTTAGTAGGATACCTTCTCAGGCATGAAGGTCTAGTCAGAGAAATATTAGAGGCAGAAACGGGAGTTATAAGGTGTAGAGGTAGACCTAAATTAGATTACTGTTCGCAAATAGTTAAGGATGTGGGTTGTTGTAGTTTTAGGGAAATGCGAAGATTAGCTCAGGATAGGAATGAGTGGAGATGCGTGTTCAACCAGTTTTAGGACTGGCGACCTTATGATAATGATGAGGGGCTAAAAATAATGTTAAGAAGTGCTCAGTGGAATTAAGAACTTTGGTCAGAAATAACGAAGTATATTTTAAGAATCTGGGAATTGTTTATGAAGTCTATAAGTCGTTTAGAGTAAAATTTCCGTATTATGTATGTGCAAAGATCCTATTCGATAAAAACAACAATTTATGATTAAACGGTCAAGTTTCCGGAAAGAAGAAAAATGTGCAGTGTTAGTGACTTTATCAGGAAAATTGTAGCAGAAACCGTTTAATTTCAGAGCGCTGACTTTTATAAATCGTACGAAGGAGAAAAGAAAATCGATTTGTCTAGACTGTTAAGACATCTAAAAATTATCTCTTCCCTTCAAGAAACGTTTCGTATCCGAAATCTATCTCTTGGAAAGTTTCAATGGAATCGCGCTGTGAATTTCTATTGACGGTCTCATTTCTCTTATTATCCGACCATTTCAAATCGAACTGGAAGGATATTGTAAGATATACATATTGCTTTTTCATTACGTAATCGACTTAAAGCACCAAGTTGACGAAACTACGAAAAGC